TTCCTCCCACCCTTCTCTCTCTTGTCTGTGTCCACCTTTTCGCCACTTCTTCCATCCCTCTCCCTCTTCCCCCTCTCCCCTCTCTCCCTCGTCCGTTTCCACCTCTCCTATACTTATATCCCTACTCCTCCTCAGTTTTTCTTCCCCCCTCTCTCCCTCATCCACTTCTCCCCTCTCTCTCTCTTCCATCTCCCCCTCCCTCTCCCCCTCTCCCCTATCTCTCCCTTCCAACTCCCCCTCTCCCCTCTCTCTCTCTTCCAACTCCCCCTCTCCCCTCTCTCTCTCTTCCAACTCCCCCTCCCTCTCCCCCTCTCCCCTATCTCTCCCTTCCAACTCCCCCTCCCTCTCCCCCTCTCCCCTTTCTCTCTCTTCCATCTCCCCCTCCCTCTCCCCCTCTCCCCTATCTCTCTCTTCGAACTCCCCCCCCCCCCCATCCAAACCCGCCGAAGTTCGCTCGTGAAATTCTTATCGATGGCAGACGCGGTCAAACAGAACTCCTGCCTCCTGCGCCCAGCCGCCCCCTCCCGAGGTGCCCCTTTTGCCGCAGCTGCACAAACGCCCTTCTGTCCCTCCGCCGCGAAACAGCACCGCAATGTCAGTCCCGCGAGGCTTAGGGAAGTTAGGCTCAAGTTAACCCAGGCTAAACAAGGTCACTCGCTGGACTGTGCGGGTCTTGGGACGCGCTCGTTCACTCACTCGCTCGCTCAGTCGTCACTCGCTCACTTCGGCTGTGTGCGTGTGTACGACCGTTCCATGCACGTATATACATAAATATATACATGTATATACATATACATACACATATATAAATATACATATACATACACATATATAAATATACATATACATACACATATATAAATATACATATACATACACATATATAAATATACATATACATACACATATATAAATATACATATACATACACATATATAAATATACATATACATACACATATATAAATATACATATACATACACATATATAAATATACATATACATACACATATATAAATATACATATACATACACATATATAAATATACATATACATACACATATATAAATATACATATACATACACATATATAAATATACATATACATACACATATATAAATATACATATACATACACATATATAAATATACATATACATACACATATATAAATATACATATACATACACATATATAAATATACATATACATACACATATATAAATATACATATACATACACATATATAAATATACATATACATACACATATATAAATATACATATACATACACATATATAAATATACATATACATACACATATATAAATATACATATACATACACATATATAAATATACATATACATACACATATATAAATATACATATACATACACATATATAAATATACATATACATACACATATATAAATATACATATACATACACATATATAAATATACATATACATACACATATATAAATATACATATACATACACATATATAAATATACATATACATACACATATATAAATATACATATACATACACATATATAAATATACATATACATACACATATATAAATATACATATACATACACATATATAAATATACATATACATACACATATATAAATATACATATACATACACATATATAAATATACATATACATACACATATATAAATATACATATACATACACATATATAAATATACATATACATACACATATATAAATATACATATACATACACATATATAAATATACATATACATACACATATATAAATATACATATACATACACATATATAAATATACATATACATACACATATATAAATATACATATACATACACATATATAAATATACATATACATACACATATATAAATATACATATACATACACATATATAAATATACATATACATACACATATATAAATATACATATACATACACATATATAAATATACATATACATATATACATACACATATATAAATATACATATACATATATACATACACATATATAACTGCCCCCCCCCCTCCCCGACTAACCCACGCACAGATGCAAATCCCCTCCCCCTCCAACACACACACGGGGACCAAATCTGATTATCGCGCACAGGGAACAGCAAGTCCCCCCTCCCCCAACCCCATTTCCCATCCCCTTCTCTCCTATCTCTCTCTTCCATCTCCCCCTCTCCCCTATCTCTCTCTTCTATCCCCCCTCCCTTTCCTCCTCTCCCCTATCTCTCTCTCTTCCATCTCCCCCTCCCTTCCTCTCACCCCTATCTCTCTTTTCCAACTCCCACTCCCTCCCCCCCTCTCCCCTATCTCTCTCTTCCATCTCCCCCTCCCTCTCCCCTCTCTCCTCCTATCTCCTCCTTCCACTTCCCCCTCTCCCCTTATCTCTCTCTTCCATCTCCTCCTTCCTTTCCTCCTCTCCCTTATCTCTCTCTTCCAATCTCCCCCCCTCCCCTCTCCCCTCTCTCTCCCCTCCCCACCCTTTCGTCTCCTGTCCAACTCCCCCTCCCTCTCCCCCTCTCCCCTCTCTCTCTCTTCCAACTCCCCCACCCTTTCCCCTTCTCCCCTGTCTCTCCCTCTCCCTCTCCCCCTCTCCCCTATCTCTCTCTTCGAACTCCCCCCCCCCCCCATCCAAACCCGCCGAAGTTCGCTCGTGAAATTCTTAATCGATGGCAGACGCGGTCAAACAGAACTCCTGCCTCCTGCGCCCAGCCGCCCCCTCCCGAGGTGCCCCTTTTGCCGCAGCTGCACAAACGCCCTTCTGTCCCTCCGCCGCGAAACAGCACCGCAATGTCAGTCCCGCGAGGCTTAGGGAAGTTAGGCTCAAGTTAACCCAGGCTAAACAAGGTCACTCGCTGGACTGTGCGGGTCTTGGGACGCGCTCGTTCACTCACTCGCTCGCTCAGTCGTCACTCGCTCACTTCGGCTGTGTGCGTGTGTACGACCGTTCCATGCACGTATATACATAAATATATACATGTATATACATATACATACATACATACACATATATAAACATACATATACATATATACATACACATATATAAATATACATATACATATATACATACACATATATAAATATACATATACATATATACATACACATATATAAATATACATATACATATATACATACACATATATAAATATACATATACATATATACATACACATATATAAATATACATATACATATGTACATACACATATATAAATATACATATACATACACACATATATGTGTATGTATAAGTATATTTATATATGTGTATGTATATGTATATTTATATTTCTTTCTTTCTTTCTTTTAACAGCCATTCATTCCACTGCAGGACATAGGCCTCTCTCAATTCATTATTGAGAGGTTATATGGCAGTGTCACCCTTGCCTGATTGAATGCCCTTCCTAATCAACCGCGGTTCGGCGCGTTAACACTTGTGTCACGGCGGTGACTTCCCCTACGACACCTGCGCCTGACTTCTCAAGGCGATATGTCGTTTGCTCGGGCTCGAGGTAGCAGTCAGACCGCAGGCATTTTTACGACCGCCGCGACGGGGAATTGAACCCTGGACCACGAGGGTCGGAGTCCAGTGCTCTAACCACTGAGCTATCGCGGCAGTATCGTATATTCATATATGTGTATGTATATGTATATTTATATATGTGCATGTATATGTATATTTATATATGTGTATGTATATGTATATTGATATCTGTGTATGTATATGTGTATGTATATGTATATTTATATATGTGTATGTATATATGAATATGTATATTTATATATGTGTATGTATATATGTATATGTATATTTATATATGTAGGTATGTATGTATATGTATATTTATATATGTGTATGAATATATGTATATGTATATTTATATATGTGTATGAATATATATGTATATGTATATGTATATGAATATGTATATGTGTATGAATATATGTATATGTATATGTATATATGTGTATGTGCATGTATATATGTATATGTATATGTATATGTATATATATATGTGTATGTATATGTATATTTATATATGTGTATGTATATGTATATTTATATATGTGTATGTATATGTATATTTATATATGTGTATGTAAATGTATATTTATATATGTGTATGTAAATGTATATTTATATATGTGTATGTATATGTATATTTATATAAATATACATATACATACACATATATAAATATACATATACATACACATATATAAATATACATATACATATACATATGTATATATATATATATATATATATATATATATATATATATATATATATATATATATATATATATATATATATATATATATATATATATATATATATATATATATATATATATTTATATATCTATATACATACATATACATATCTATATACATACATATACATATACATATGAATATATACATACATATACATATATATACACACATATACATATATATACACACATATACATATATATACACACATACATACATATATATATATATATATACATACATATACATTTATATATACATATATAAATGTATATACATACATATATACATATATATACACATATACAAATATATACACATATGCATGAATTATATATAAATAAATAAATATACATAATAAATTATATATATATATATATTATACATTATATATATATATATATATATATATATATATATATATATATATATATATATATATATATATATTATACATTATATATATATATATATATTATACATTATATATATATATATTATACATTATATATATATATATATTATACATTTATATATATATATTATACATTTATATATATATATATATATATATATATATATATATATATATATATATATATATATATATATATATATATATATATATCGTCCCTTAACGCAGCGGCCTGACCGGCCGTTCCGCCCACTTACCCTTCGAGGCGCACGTCGGGAAGCGACCTGTTCAGGCTGATGGAGTCCGACGCGAGTAGGTTAAACTGGTTCAGCTTGAACTTCTCCTTCATGAGCGCCTCCTGTCCCGGCGGCGTCCTAACGGGCTTTCCCATCTCCCCGGGGAGGCCGGGGTGCTCAGGCACGGGCGGCCGCGACACCCACTTCTGCAACTCCTCCGGCGGGTAGTCCAGTTTGAAGCCCTGTTGGAACACAAGCACATGACTTAACAAGGTACCTACTCTTATCCCTACATCATTTGTCAAATCAAATGTTTCAGAATGAATTGGCAATGATACACAACAAAATATTGAAATAAAAGGCAACAGAATTCGCCAACCACTGCTCTTTCGTATATTTATCGAATTACTAAATGCTCAAGTGGCAGGCGTTTATCACTAAACTGGTAAGCGGGAATTATTCACACATCAAATAGATATCCCGAGACTGTGAACCATAAGGAATTCATCCAAGTTTCATCGACGCTCCAAAAAACACACAAACGCTTCATAAAATACTCTGTCAACATTCCTCTGTCGGATTTAACGAATATTTTATCCATTTATAAACATATATTCCCTGATTCGATCCATGACACCACTCTAGGCTAACATTTTCTCTCTCTTGGGCGGTCGACAGCGAACCAAAATTCTAGGTTGCAATAAATCGCGGGACTTTATTCTACTCCTACATCAATCGACGCTAACATTTCTATCTAGAATGTTCACGAATCGAACCAAAAGCTAACACTAGGCTATATCTGGCAACAGCTAATACACTCTACATCCCAGACCCCCCCCCCCCCTGTGTGCCGACGAAAGCGCTTCAACACGTCATCGCCAAATGATGCACAAGAATCCAATTTCTGTCGAGAGGCTAAGAACACTATCTGGAAAGTCCTTTGTTTGTTTGCATTTTCCTCTTCCTCTCCTTCCTTTCTTTTATCTTCTTCTGTTTTTTTTTCTAGTTCATTCTTTTCTTCTTCGTCTTCTTCTCTTTTTGTCTCTCTCTTTCTTCTCCTTTTTATTTTTTTCCTTTTTCCTCTGTTCCTTATTTTTTTTTACTTTTTCTTCTACTTTTAGCTTCATCATTATCATCTTTCTTCTTCTTCTCTTCCTTTTTTTCTTTCTTCTTCTCGTTTTCATAATTTTCTTCTCTTTCTTTTTTTCTATTCATCTGTTTCTTTTTCTTCTTTTATATTTTCATACTCAGGAAAGAAAATGCAAACCAGGTCAACGGTTTACGAATGCTCTAGCTATTGAGTGGAGATTTCTTTGACTAACACACGACATGCTACAAGGCCTTATATCGTAGATTTTAGCGGATAAAAAATCAATTTCTCTCTCCCTCTCTCTCCCTTTCTTTTTTTCCCCTCTCTCTTTCTCTCTGTCTCTACCATATATCACTCAATAATGTAACCTATATACATGTATTTCTCTCTCTAACAAAGCCTCGTGCACCTGCGCTTCATTCTGTAACACAGGCCTATACCCTGGCTCCGCATTACAGAAACGGCCTCCACTTCGCGTGCTTATCAGCAGCGCTCCTTCGCCGCTCGAAGGATCCCCCGCACAGCAATTTCCTGTCGAGGATGAGTGTCCTGCGATGGCGTTGGTGGAACTCGGCCGCGAGGGAGTCAACGCCCTGGCAAAGGAGGGGTGACCTTTCCCCTGCTGAAGGAGAGGCAGCCTGCCCTCCGCTAAAGGAGAGGTATCCTCCTACCAGAGGAGGAGCGACTTTCCCCTGCCAACGGAATGACGACCTCCCTGCCAAAGAGGCGACTGAGCCTTGGCTGGGGAGGGGCGGCAGCCCTGCCAGGAAGCAAAGTGCCTCCTAGTGAGTGAGCCTCCCTCCCCGCTGTGGGCGTCAATGCCTCCCTGCCGCGGCTGGAGTGCCTCTAAGGAGCGCGCGCCCGCCTCTCCTCAGGCGCCCAGAATTCCATTGCAAGAAAACGTTGATTTCCAAGAGGAAATTAATTAGCTTTTAAATTACAGGTTCGCGTGTGGGAGATGAGGTTCACTTGTAATTACTTACAAATCTCTGTTTTCCTTAAAATATAATCACTTCTAATGTGCTTTTTTGCTGTCACTTTGATTAGCATCGAGCTACAATATTGCCGCTCTTGCTTCGGCATGAAATGCTTTCCAGGCCCCGTTCTCGCGGATGTGACGCTGCCAATTAAATCGTGAGTATAACATATTTACCGCGCCTCACGTGCCACGGCGTCTTGTCTTCCAACCCCCTCAACTGGCCACTGTGACAAAGGCGCGAGTGTGGAATTATTATACACTCATAATACGATTATACGCTCTGTATTAGTTTAACAATCTAACTAGTACAAGCTGCCCGGAATATCTGAAACACCCATACATAAAAAAGTTTTTCATTTCTGGTACAGAAAAAATGCAGGCAGTGAGAAATAGCCCCGCCTCCCTGGCCCCGGAGGAGCACACTTGCCTCGAGATCGACGTCGTGGTTGTCGGCGCGGTGGTTCCGGATGCCTCGGCCCTTGTTAGTGCGGTGGTGATCGGCGCGGCTCTCGCGGTCCTGCGCGTCGCTCCTGCCGCAGCCCCAGCCCGAGCCCGTCGAGCAGTCGCTGTAGTACATGATCACCGCCACGTCCATCACGAACCACACCAGCGACGTCACCAGCACGATCTTGCAGGTGTGGACCCGCAGCCGCGACGACCGGAACATGCTTGCAGTGGACGCGGTTGCGGCGGGAGAGGGAAGCTTCTGCTACGACTCGGGGGGAGAGAAGGGGAGGGGAGGTGAGGGCGGGTGGAGGAGAGCGGGGGGAGGGCGAGAAGAAGCAGCGCTGGGGGCGGTGAGGGCGAAGGGAAGGATGAAGGGTACAGAAGGGTGCAAGGGGGTGTGGCTACCGAGGCCGTCGTCTCCTCTCAGCACCGGGACGCCCTCGCGACCATCACTTCAACGGCTCGAGCACGACCTGGAAAAGGAGAATCACACACCGTTAGTTACCTAACCAAAGACAAGTCATCGAGCAGAGCGGCATAGATGCATACGCTTATAAAACAGATGAAAAAATGCTTCATCTAGTTTTTCAAAAAAATAAAGCGAGATTTCCGTGATGAGCTGTGATTCCGCCTCGAGACCCGACGACGGCCTCACAATTGGCTCGGAAACTCTCGTCTTACTTTCAATTGGGCTTAAAAATAGCATCAAAATAAAGAAAAATAAAATAAAAACACGAGAACAATATGTGAAACGCGATACGCTGACAAGAGAGAGAGCGAGATAAAAAAAAGAAACATAATTTTTTACAACAGGTAAGAAAAGTAAACACCAAAAAGATCCAGATTTCGACCCCTCTTCCAAGCAAGGCAGGAAAACGACCGTCCTGCATGTAACGAGGTCCCGCGAAAATCGAATCAAGCACTCCATTAGCACTGATCCAATTTCAAGCCGAACTCGGAGAAACTGCTTCAAGGTATTGCTCCTGAATTGGCCAAATTTGATCGCATTCACGTGTCATGATCAAAAGCCATTCGCCTCAGGGTGGAAAACTGGCTTGATAAGTAAATTGGAAGATGAATGCTATCTATCTCGAGCACCGTTCTAAACCCTCCGCCGCTAATTCTGGTGATTTGGCCGCCCTGTCTAGGTGAGATCTCCGTGATACTGGTCGAGCAGCTTGCGAGGGAACACAACTCGATAATTTTTCAGTCACTCATAGATTCATTTATCGTGGAGGCGTAGTTTACGAACAAAAATTCGAAGGGGCAGATATAAAGGAAAATACAATGGACACATACACAACCAATGTCCAGTAGAGTAATTATTCCACAATTTCTACAATTAACAAACGACAGAACAACCAGTAAATGTAGAGACAAAGAGATATGAAACGAACTAAAAATATTCTGCAACAGGAAAAAAAATTATATTAAAGAAAACAAAAAATCCCAACTTCTCGAGCTCTTGAAGCAACGTCAACGATCTCAACAGGGAGCGCTCCTCCGAAGAAAAGGGGACGAAGGAAGAGAAGGAGAAAGAGAAAGAGAAGGAGAAAGAGAAGGAGGAGGGGGAAAAGAACTAGAAGGGGAGGGAAGAAGAGAGGGAGGAAAAGACCTAGAAGCGGAGGGAAGGAGACTGGAAGGGAAGGAGGGAGGGAAGAGGGGTGGAGGGAGGGAGAGAGAGGGAGGGAGAGAGAGGGGGAGAGATAGAGAGAATGGGAGAGAGAGGGAGAGAGAGGGAGAGAGAGGGAGAGAGAGGGAGAGAGAGGGAGGGAGAGGATGAAAGAGAGAAAAAACAAAGGGAGCGAACGAATGAAATTACAAAAGAAAGAACAACGAAAGAAGGCGAAAGAGAAAGTGAGACAAGAGAAAGACAGAGACAAAGAGAAATAAAACGCACCAGAGAAAGACAAACCACAGACTGACGGGGAGGGAAAAAAAAGAGACTCATTTGCCGTACCCGAAGTCTACAATATTTCCTGCTAAGTAATCACATTTCTCGCTCGCATTGTAAGAGCCGGACGCCATAAATCTGTCCGTAAGTCTATTCCCGTTTCCGTCATTCAACCCTTGGCATCACTCCTCCTCTCCTTCCCTGTACCCTTCCTTGTCTCCCCCTCCCTCTACCTTCCCCTCCTCCATCCTCCTACCTTCTCCACGATATCTCCCCCTTCCCTTTCCCCGTCCTCCTCCTCCTCCTCCCCTCTCCTTTCCCCGTCCTCCTCCTCCTCCCCCTCTTCCTCCTCCCCTCTCCCTTCCCCGCCCTCCTCATCCTTCCCTCTCCCCTTCCCTTTCCCCGTCCTCCTCCTCCCCTCTCCCTTCCCCGCCCTCCTCATCCTTCCCTCTCCCCTTCCCTTTCCCCGTCCTCCTCCTCCCCTCTCCCTTCCCCGTCCTCCTCCTCCTCCCCCTCTTCCTCCTCCCCTCTCCCTTCCCCGCCCTCCTCATCCTTCCCTCTCCCCTTCCCTTTCCCCGTCCTCCTCCTCCCCTCTCCCTTCCCAGCCCTCCTCATCCGTCCTACCCTCCCTCCAGTATCCCCTCCCCTCACCCCCCTCCCTCTAAATTCGGATTATTGGTTAATGCAAGTTTTGAAATCTGGTTTGCCACCGGAGAATCTTCATATCTGTATTTGTATCCGAATATGATTTGGAATGCGCGCGCCGGCATCAGCTGCTCGTCTCGGCCTCGGTCTTGTCTGATTTGATTCGTAGCTGATGATGGTCCTTATGATGATGGTGGTGGTGACGGGTGGTGGTGGTGGTGACGGGTGGTGGTGGTGGTGACGGGTGGTGGTGGTGGTGACGGGTGGTGGTGACGGGTGGTGGTGGTGGTGGTGGTGGTGGTGGTGACGGGTGGTGGTGGTGGTGGTGACGGGTGGTGGTGGTGGTGGTGGTGGTGACGGGTGGTGGTGGTGGTGGTGACGGGTGGTGGTGGTGGTGGTGGTGGTGACGGGTGGTGGTGGTGGTGGTGACGGGTGGTGGTGGTGGTGGTGGTGGTGACGGGTGGTGGTGGTGGTGGTGGTGGTGACGGGTGGTGGTGGTGACGGGTGGTGGTGGTGACGGGTGGTGGTGGTGGTGGTGACGGGTGGTGGTGGTGGTGGTGACGGGTGGTGGTGGTGGTGGTGACGGGTGGTGGTGGTGGTGGTGACGGGTGGTGGTGGTGGTGGTGACGGGTGGTGGTGGTGGTGACGGGTGGTGGTGACGGGTGGTGGTGGTGGTGGTGACGGGTGGTGGTGGTGGTGGTGGTGGTGACGGGTGGTGGTGGTGGTGGTGGTGGTGACGGGTGGTGGTGGTGGTGGTGACGGGTGGTGGTGGTGGTGGTGACGGGTGGTGGTGGTGGTGGTGACGGGTGGTGGTGGTGGTGGTGACGGGTGGTGGTGGTGGTGGTGACGGGTGGTGGTGGTGGTGACGGGTGGTGGTGGTGACGGGTGGTGGTGGTGGTGGTGGTGACGGGTGGTGGTGGTGGTGACGGGTGGTGGTGGTGGTGGTGACGGGTGGTGGTGGTGGTGGTGACGGGTGGTGGTGGTGGTGGTGACGGGTGGTGGTGGTGGTGGTGACGGGTGGTGGTGGTGGTGGTGACGGGTGGTGGTGGTGGTGGTGACGGGTGGTGGTGGTGGTGGTGACGGGTGGTGGTGACGGTGACGGGTGGTGGTGACGGGTGGTCGTCGTAATTGTGGTTGTGGTTGGGGTGGTGGTGGTGGCAATGATTGTGGTGGTGATGGTGGCAGCGGTGGTTGTGATGGTGGTGATGATGGTGATAATGAGGATGGCTGATGATGGCTATAGCGAATGACTACACAAAATGGCAATGACATTTAATAAAGAGGCAGAGAACACAGCACAACTCCGCTTCATAATCAAATCTCCCTTTCTCCTCATCGCCATACCAATTCCACTGCCGTCACTTCTATTGCGTTGTTATTGCGTAATTCCTCGCCTGACCCGGCCTGCGCAGAGACAAGGGCTGCAAACACAGGTAGACATAAATCAGTACAATTCTACTTGTGTCTCGGAAAATCACTCGGCCATAAGGGAAAATAAATGGGGGGGAGGGGGGAAGGGAGAAGGGGGGGAGGGAGAAGGCGGGGACGAAAGGGGGGAAAAAAGGCGATACAAAACACATAAATATCTTCAAATAGCTTGTTTTTCTCCCTCCCCTTACGACGCCATTACCCCCTCCCCCCTCTTACTTGCTTTACCCCCCTCCCCAAGTATCCCCCACCACCGTACTTACGTCGTCACCCCCATCCCATACTTCTTACTTACACCTCCCCCCCTCCACACACACACCTCTGTACAAGAGCCCCTCCCCCCCCCCCATACGCAACCAGCCTCCCGCCTACCCCCGCCTACCCCCGCCTCTCCCTCGCCACGCCCATCCATACATAACCCAGTGCTATGGGGAAATGGGCTTTTCTTCGTTGTCTTGCGGGAGTTAATGTTTACCCGAAGTATCGGCATTGTATTATTCACGGGTCGGATTTTACGAGGGATGATGTTTAATGGGCGTTTTTTGCTTTCTTCAGTTTGTTTCTGTTCTTAGTTCGTTCTGTGTGTCAATCTGTCTGGTTGTCTGTCTGCCTGTTTGTCCGTCTGTGTGTAGTTGTCTATCAGTCTGTCTGGCTATCTCTTCCTTTCTTCCCTCTGCCCTCTTCCTTCTCCACCCCTCTCTTCTACATCTCCCTTTCCCTTTCCATCCCACCTCCCTCCCTGCCCCTTTTTCCTCCCTTCCCCTTCCCCTTTTTCTTCACCATTCCTCTTTCCTCCCTGCCCCCTTCCTTCTCCATCCCTCCCTCCTTCTTCCTTTCCCTCTCCAACCCTTCTTCTTCCCCGCTCACTTTCACTCTACCCCTTTCCCTCTCCTTCCTCCTTTACCTCTCTATTCCCCTTTCCTCCCTATCCCATTTCCCTCTCCACCCCTCTTCCACTCCCCTCCCCTTTCTCCTCTCCACCCCTCTTCCACTCCCCCCTTTCCCCCACCACCCCTCTCTTCCACACTCCCCCCCCTTTCCCCTCTCCACCCCCCTCTTCCACACTCCTCCCCCTTTCCCCCCACCATCCCTCCCTCCCTCCTCCCCGCCCATCTTCGTTCTCCCGCCTCAGTATTCTTAGCACGACGCGGGACGACCCAGCGAGCTCCAGTTATCATCGAGCTTTAGTAGTTCTGGCGGGTCGTCTGTCCCTGGGAATTCTCCGGAAGCCGGCAATGCGCAAGTCGTTCTTCAGGATGGCTGGAGACGACGAGGGCTGATTGGCTGCATAATGCGGCGGCGCTACGGGAAGCAGGTGTGTGTGTGTGTGTGTGTGTGTGTGTGTGTGTGTGTGTGTGTGTGTGTGTGTGTGTGTGTGTGTGTGTGCGTGTGTGTGTGTGTGTGTGCGTGTGTGTGTGTGCGTGTGTGTGTGTGCGTGTGTGTGTGTGTGCGTGTGTGTGCGTGTGTGTGCGTGTGTGTGCGTGTGTGTTTGTGTGTGTTTGTGTG